AGGTATACAATAAATATATAGATGAATACAATAAAGATGAAATAGTTAGATCGGGGTTTGATCGAGGTTCATATCAGGGTTAGGATCAAAGTTCAGGATCAGGGTCAGTTTATTTTAGGTAGGATTAAACAACAAAATGTTCCCTATTGTTTCTGGGCCCTACTATGGGTACAAACAACAAATCATATACACATACTGTATGTGGTATTACTACAATCATCGGGGGAGGGGAATGTGTTTTGGGTGTTCTTCTTTGGTGGTGGGCCATGGTAATTGTAAGAAATATGCGGCTACATTTCAAAAAATGTTTTTACTATTTTGGGCAGTTTTCCTTTGCTAAAAAAAATCAGGAGAGGATGAATTTGTCCTTAAAAACAGGTTATAATTCACTTGGATACACAAGTAGATGTGATGATATGTACAGTTTTACAAACAAATGCCAAAGCTGCAAAACTGCATTGATGCGTAAAGATATGTTTTACCGTCCCCCATGAAGGGGTTACATAGTTACATGGTTTGTAAGGTTCCATAAAGATACCGGCCCTTCCAGTCCAACCTGTGTGTGTTTATGTCATGACCCCTTTCCATATTCCTGTATATTGCATTCACCAAGAAACACACCTAAAAATGTTCACAATTTATCTACACTCCCGGCTTACACCACCCACTCTGGCAGGGAGCTCCATATCCTTACCACTTTAACTGTAAAGAAACCGGGGCCACTGTTAGATATCATGGGGCCCCGTACACTACCTGATGGGGGCCCCTGGGGTGGGGATATGAAGAGAAGGAGGTGAGAAAGGGGGGGAAGGTAAGAGGGGGGGGGTGAAAGAAAGATGGAGGGAGGGAGAGAGAAGGGGAAGAGAGAGAGAGATGGGTGTGAGAGAGAGAGATGGCGGGGAGAGAGGGAGTAAGAAAGAAGGGGATTAGAGAGAGAGAGGGGGTGGGGAACAAGAGGGGTAATAGAGAAGGGGTGGGGGAAGTGAGAGAAAGAGGGTTTGAAGGGAGGAGGTGAGAAATAGGGTGGTGGGAGAAAGGGGGGGGAAGAGAGAGGGGGTGAGAAGGGGGGGGGTGGGGGGAGGAGGTGAGAGAGAGGGGGTGAAAGAGAAAGGGGAGAGTGGTGGGAAAGAGGGGGTTAGAGAGGGGGAAAGAGGGGTGGGGGGTGAAAGAGAGAGAGGAGAGAGAGGGGGTGGTATGAGGTGAAGAGAGAAGGGGGGTGAGGTGAGACAAGGGGTGAAAGAGAGAAAGAGGGGCAAGAAAGAGAGAGAGAGAGGAAGGGTGAGAGGGGCAGTGAAAGAAAGAAGAGGTGAGAGAGAGAGGGAAGTGAGAGAGGGGAGGAGGTGGGGGGGTGAGAGATAGAGGGGAGGTGGGGGTGAGAGAGAGAGGGGGGGAGAGAGGGGGGGAGAGGGGGTTGGAAAGGGGGGAGCTGAGAGAGAGGGGGGTGAGGGGGTCAATATGTCTGCTACTACTCACAATTGTGGCCCTAGGCTGCTATATTGTAGGCTCAGGCAGCCAGGATCTAGAGCTGCTGCTGTGTGCTGCATATTACAATCTGCCGCCTTCATAGCCCCTTTCACAAGAGTGTGTGAAGATCATCCTCCATCCACACACAGGATCATCTCTGGATCTTCCCAGCCGGGGACACAGCAGAATGAATGGGAGATCAGGGCTGCAGAGCCGGGCAGTGATCCTGGCAGCCGGTGAGTGGCCGGGCTGCAGAGTAAGGGCGGGGCTTGTCATGCATGGCTCTCCCGGAGGGGGTGTTCTGTGGCCGGACACCGGGCTCCCGCTGTCTCCATTCCTGTCCTCATGTAAGGGGATGTGTGTCTGCGGGGAGGATGGGGGGACCGATCACATGTCACCGATCTAGGAAACGGGACTAATAGGAAATTGGACTGCTGAGGAGAGCACCGCAAACAGAGACCGCTCTGCAGGCAAGTTTGATGGAGTATGATCGGTGCGCCACAACAAGTAGAGGTGCAGTGATGGAGCCTCTCATGGGACCCTCTACTGGCCCTGGGCCCTCAGGCAGTCTGGAATGGTCAGTCCGCCCCTGTATGGAACATGTCATTGAAACCTGAATCTGCCTGCTGGCCAGGCCCCCCTGTTAAGTGATGGCCCGGTGGTACCCCCTTAGCAGCCCTGAAAGAAACCCTTACACAGTTTAAGACTGAACCGCTTCTTATCCAACTTCATTGTTGGGCCATGTGAGTTCTATAGAGACCTGAGATTAAATAGGTTCCTCTCAATGCTGGAGTCCCCATGTAAAGATTTGTACATTGTTATCAGATCTCCTCGTAATTGTCTCTTCTCCAGGGTTTAATGCTTGTAGTTGTTCCTCATAACGGAGGTCCTCCAGCCCCCTTATTATCATTGTTGTCCTTCTCTGGACTCTCTCCAGTTCTAGAACATCCTACCTGAGGACTGGTGACCAGGACTGGACAGCATACTCCAGATGTGGATGAACCAGAGCTTTATAAAGTGGTAGAAAAATATATTTTTTTTGCAATTTCTTCATTTAATGATTTTTTTCTCTTTTTTTTTTTTTAACAGAACCAGTCACACAAGAAGCAGAGAAGAACACGGGGCGATGGGGTTATAGAACAACATTTTACAATGGAGAAACAACAAAGTGGTGTCATAGCTGTAGTGATGCACATTAGGCGTGATGGTACTGTACATGAGAACATTCAAAGAATGGGGGATGTGGGTGTGGCCTGCAGCTGAATGGGAGGGGCGCACATGAAACTGGCTCTGCAGAGCAGGGAGAGAACCGTGCACATAGCGGGGGTACAGACCACCCTCTACAGCAAGTCTACCCCACACATACTGTAGTGCAGCAGGTCTGGAACATGTCCAGGAAATGCAAGGAGCGGGAGAGACTGAGGAGGAGGACAGACTTCTTCCTCCCTCTGCTACGTCCCTTCAGCCAAGATGGTGCTGGCTCCTCCCACTGGGCCCCCTCCCAGGCTCCTGCATCTCAGCCTTCCTCACATCTTCCACCAAAACTGTCCTGTTCCTGAGCAGGCTCAGTCACACTTAAAGGCTCCCTGGCCCCATGCTAAGCCTCCTACTTGGGGATTGGCCAAAGTTCTTTAAGTGTGCAGGCCAGCCGCTCCTCATTCCCCCACCCACTTCTTCTAGAATCTTCTCCAAGATTCTAGACAGGGGAGGTATAAGGGAACTGACCTGCAGAGCCCTCAGCCCTGACCTAAACATGACCCCAGTAACTCATGCCCAGGCTGCTACTCAGCCCTCCTATCCTCCTAAACCTAGTCTAGCTCCCCCTAGCTAAACTTGAGAGAGCTGCTACATCAATAGAACTTTCTGCTTCATTAGCCAACATTACCCAACCTTGGTTGGAGTCCAACAGGCTCAAGTCTACTGCCAATGGATGGATCCCTCCTTGGTATTAGGGATCAGTGGGTGAAACATACTCACTGTGATTATCATCATCCTCCTGACCCTTGTGACAATGTCCACCATTGGGCTCTCCCAGATGGACATCGGAGGATGGACATGACAGCACCTGGACTGCTGACTGGGCCAGTGAGGTCAGACATGTCATATCTACATGAAAGAGGCTGAGCTGAGTGGAATAAGACCTCAATGGGGCCACATTACATCTACTGAGGGCCACACCGACCTCATTCCAGAAGATGATAAGAGCACGTTGGCACTGTCATCTCTGTCCCCAGACCAGCTAGTGCTGGGCTGTCTTATCGGAAAGCCCAGAATTCTCTGTAACACGGTGTCATGGAGGAGCCGGGATTAAATGCTGATTTATAAAATGAATATTTCATACAATAAGTAATAAGAAAAGTGACAGAAAAGATCAATTTATTCATTTGTAAATCTTCCAGAAAATGAATAAAACCAACAAAAGACATTGTAGATTATCATTCAGCATTTTGTATTCGGGGAAAATGAAAACAAACGATGCGAGAAGAATGTCCCCCCCGGCTGTGACATAAATGACACCTGTACTGAGGGGAATATGGAGGGGCCATTGCTGGATGTCTTCTGAAAATGCTCTTCTCCTGGCTGTCTGTGGACTCAGTATTCGGGGACACTGACCTGGAACAATCATGCAGATCAGGAAATCAGAGTTAAGTCAGAACTCCGAGTCTGAATACTTCTTCCAGGTGGTCTGACATAGAAAGTACAGAAGGCGTTGGATCAGAATGACAGCCAGGGAACTAGTATACTTTAGATAGTAGTACAGATATCAGTGACAGCATTCCCGGCACATCCAGGGGATGGACAGAACCTCTCATGGGGCCCTCTACTGACCCCGGGCCCTTGGGCAGTGCCTTAGTCCCTGAATGGTCAGTCCGCCCCTGATAGATAGATAGATAGATAGATAGATAGATAGATAGATAGATAGATAGATAGATAGATAGATCACATGCTCCTCGCTGACCAATAGAGAAAAGCCTTCACTATAATTGGACAGTTCTTCCAGCCAATCATAGACATCTGTGAGGGAGAAATAGAGAGTCTCACAGTAATATATGGATCATAGAAAACACTGCAGGACTATTAGCTGAATGTTCCACCAATCCCATCCCCCCTCCCTGTGATGTCACCACTCTGGGCGGAGTTCTCACTTTCCCCGATTCCCCCCACAGATCTTTATACAACCTCTCCCTACACCTATCCCGGCATGGAGGGGCTCAGTGAAGGTGGTGGTGAAGGTGTGGAGGTGTCGGATCGGGTCACACAGATCATAAAAGGAGATCCGCCCGGCCTCATAATCCAGATCTATCCTGACTCTGGTACTGGGGGGATTGGGGGTAAGGGGATTGATCCCTTTACTGTCATGTATCACCCAATACTGATTACCATCCCTGTACAAACCCCAGGACTTGTTATTCCTTCCAATCAGTGACTCTCTCCTCTCCTGTCTATACTGGGGTAACACATCCCGACTATCCACCAATCTGACCCCCCGACATCCACTTCCCAGTAATGTCTCCCTGAGGAGAAACTCCGACTGCTCAACACCTGAGGATAACCCTGAAATCTCTCTGGTGTTTCTGGATGATTCTGGTTTCTATCTGACCTGGATACAGTTTTCCTGTCATCTGATATATGTAGATTATTATGAGCTGTGTTTCCATCCAGTAATATGTCCTCAGCTCCCTGTATATAGAAGGATACATTTCCCTCTGTTATTATATCAGATAATGTGTGTAATGTGTGTGATATCCCAGCCACATCCAGCCCCCCTCCATCATGGAGGAGTTCCTCATGTCTCTCTCTGTCCTCATTATCTCCATCCTCAGTATCACACAAGTCACCTGTGTCTGATTCCTGTAGGACAGTCAGTGGATCCGTCATGTTACACAGCTCCTCAATGTCACGCATCTTCCTGGACAGCTCCTCCTTCTTTATTTCCAGATCCCGGATGAAGATGGAGACCCGCTCTGCCCTCCCGGAGATTTCCCTCAGGACTCTCTTCTCCAGGTCTTCCAGACGTCTCCTGAGATCTATAAACAGGGCAGTGACTCTCTCGGTGTCACCAGCTTCTTCTTCTTCTACTTTCCTCCTGTGTTCCTGCAGACTCTGGACTCTTTCCTCCATCTCCTCTCTCTTTGTCAGAAGTTTCTGCAGAACATTCCTCAGTGTCTCCTTCTTCTTCTCAGAAGCCTCATCCAGCATCTCCACCTGGTGTCCTCGATGTTCTCCAGCCAAAGTGCAGGACACACAGATACAGGTCTCATCCTCAGTGCAGTAATACTCCAGGATCTTCTTATGGACGGAGCATTTCCTGCTCTCCATGGACAAGGTGGGGTCACATAAGATGTGTTCTGGGGACTTTTTGTGGACTTTCAGGTGTTTATCACACAGAGAAACCTCACAGAGCAGACAGGATCTAACAGCAGGTACAGGATAGTCCACACAGTAAGTACAGAAGACCCCGGACTCCTCCTGATCAGGCTGAGCAGACAGGAAATTCTCCACTATGTTACGCAGTGTTATGTTCCTGTGCAGTGCAGGACGATCCGGAAACTTCTGTCTGCATTCAGGACAGGAATATCCTCCAGACCCCCCCTGTGTATCCAGAACACGATCAATACAGACCGGCAGAAGTTGTGTCCACATCTCAGCATTACAGGATCTGTATAAATGTTCAGACAGACGGAACATTCCAGCTCGGCTCTCAGATTAGCAGACGCCATCGCTGACAGTAGGAGAAATGAAAGTCTCTGACACCGGGGAAGAATGCAGCTGGGAGGTGTCACTTCCTCCTACACAGGGAGGCGAGGCTGGGCTGTGACTTGTACTTTGTTCATAGGATTCATTATATGGAGGGACACCAATATTGAAAGAATCTCCTGCAGAACAATGTGCCTGTCTCAGGAAAATATCGGACACTTTGGTGAAAATTAGGGCCGGGGTCAACAAACGTTCGTTCAGAACTGATTCTCTTTCCATACAAGTGAACAGGCATGCAAAAACAGATTGAAACTGTCACAGATTAAAGCAATAAAACTTCTACTAAGCTGCCCCTTGTAGTCCTACAGACCAGCAGACAAGCCGATACGTCCTCACTGGTAGTTGTACAACTCTAAGGCTGCATTCACACTGAGGGTTTTGTAGCTTGAAGATCCAAGATCCAAAAACACTCAAACTTACAAAATCAATTGTTCTCTATGGCGCCTGTTCCAGTGATCAGGTGTGAAAGAAGCACCATAGAGAACAAGTCATTTTTTCAGTTTGAGCTTTCTTGGATCTTCGATCTTCAAGCTACAAAACCCTGAAGTGTGAATGCAGCCTAGGGGGGCCACCTCACCCCTTTACACCCGAACACATATTAGTTACACAGGTTCTGGGGCTGATGAAGGTGGGAATTCCACTCACTTGATGCCTTATCTGCATTTCAATTAGCCCCAGAACCTGTGTCATTCATATGTGTTCGGGTGTAAAGGGATGAGGTGGCCACCCTAATGCAGCCTAACATGCAAAGCTGTTCTGTATCTTGTAGTCCCACCAGCAGGCGCCCTGTTCTGTCCTTGTTCCTGCACAGGACTATAGAGGACTATAGACGTCGGCCATCCTCACCTGATGAATGATATAATCAGCTGATGGCTAGTCCCTGCTAAGCTTGGCTACCTGTCCTGCCACAGCCAATCAGAGTGGCTGCATCCTCTCAGAGAGGCTCAGATCAGCAGATATCATGGCTGACAGCAGAAAGCAAAGTGACAGTGAAAGCCTTCCCACGAGATGAAAACAAAGGGGGGAAGTAATGACGTGTACTCCACACGGCTTTACTTCACAATGAGAACGCACAATATAAATGTACAATATAGTCCAGTAATAGAAACAGCACAGATAGATGTATCTTGATAAGATCCTTCTGATGTATATAGTCCGGCGTTGTGCAGAAAAAATGAATAAATTGCGCACTCACCGGAAGCACAATTTAAATGTGCGTTTATATCTCATACACCAAGGATCACTCCGGCTGTAGATGGAAGGAAGCTCTGAACAGGTAGTTCCGTGATGAGGAGTAACACATCTGGGGGTTCTTTATGGTAGACCAGGCTCCAAACAGGATAGGCTGAACGTTACTCTGGGCCTTAGGATAGTCACCTGGTGGTCCTGAGGGATCAGATGCTCAATGTGGAGCAAAAAGGAATACCCATAGTGTAGTATTTAAATCAAATTTAAAATGGATTTATTGAATATTAGAGCAAAACACTTAACATGAGTATGAAAATAAAATCAATCCTTGTGCACTAAGGATATCATGAAGGACACACTAACCAGCTGGTATAGAAGAGTGGCCGCCGGACCTCCTTGATCCGGCGGCTTGACGTCACGGCTAGCAAGGGCTCCTCCTTGACGCGCGTTTCGTATCACACGTACATCATCAGAAGGAATAAGAGCCATAGCTGCCGGACGTCACAGGAGCTTTATATATAGTGTATTGTGTGCCTGTATTCAAAATCATTAGGTGCCATTTTGCCAGAGACCCGCATACAGCGCATGCGCGGGCGTCCGGGCGCCATTTTCTAGTAGCCAAAATCATGTATGTATCCACCGCATGCCCAACCGCGGTGGAACATACTATTCACAAATGAATTGGTGGGTAGCACAAAAGCCTACCTTCTAATCCTGCACACTGTGATCCCAGGTGTCCTCAGGTGTCCTCGGAAGGTGGTGGAGAACATGCCGATCGATGCGGATCGCGCCATGTTCCCGGCGGTAAACTACATAAGTGCGCATGCGCGAATGAGCACGACGAACCGACGCCATATTACCGTGGGTCGGTACAGCAGTGCGCATGCGCGAATGGAACCGCCATATTTATGTGGTCTCATAGAGTAGAAGACAATCATTGCGCTTACACAGGTGCAGGGACAGTAAATAAACGATTAGGGGTATGCTTTAAATTTATACAATGTCTTATTCACTTAGGGGAAGCCCTGATTCATAAATTCTACAGTTAGATGCATCATTTTAACTTATAAATTGTCTCACATGATATCTCCCAATGCCCATTTGTGACATGTATCCTTATATACAGAAACTCCTGAACACTCTATGGTGATCAGGAGTCACTGTAGTTTAAAACTAAAGTTATATACATAGCTAAAAATCATTATGTATAAACAGTATTGTTACATACAGAGATATATAAAGACGTGGACATATTTCAGATACCATAGAAAACCATATAACAATGCAATATATATCCCCCTTTAAACCCACTACGGTACAGTAAAAATAAATATTAATTAAAATTGAAATTAAAATATCCAAAATATAAAATATAATAACCAATGTTATAATAATGAAGCAAGATTCCTAAGTGGACCATATTAAAAAATCCCTTTCCTATAAGCCATAGTATACATAAACAAATAAATTAGTGGACCATTATGATCACCAAGACTATTTTAATTTATATTTATGGTTTGTAATGTTATAATGATTCCCTGATAACTCACAATATAAGTGTGAATAGTCAAACTTAGACAAAAGGCCATATACACAAATAACCAGGATGTTAACTGTTATCTATATAGCAATTTATATCTACCTCTACATTATGGCCAAGAGGGGATAAAGTTCTCATCTCATATATCCACCTCGTTTCCATTTGAGAGACTTGTCTCAGTTTATTTGTACCCCGCCAGTGACTATGCACTACATCAATCCCTGAGAATTTCAAGGAGGTAGGGTCCCGGTTATGGTGGTATCTAAAATGTCTAGATAGAGGATGTTCTTTCCGGCCTTTTTTGATACAGTTAACATGCTCTCTGAACCTGTCTCTGAGCCTTCTGGTGGTTCGACCAATATATTGCCGTTTACATGGGCACTCCAAGAGATATACTGCATAGCGGCTATGACAGGTGATCAATGTAGAGATGTCATATGTTTTCTGAGTTGTGGTAGAAGTAAAAGATTCAATTTTCCTTTTACGTGTGCCATCTAACTTACATATAACACATTTGTTACATGGGTAAAAACCCGTCATCTTACCAAAGAGCGTAGTTCTGGAAGGAGGATCTATCACATTTGGTGAGATTTTATCCCGTAAGGTAGGAGCCTTTCTAAAAACTATTTCAGGCCTATCCGGTAATGCTCTGGCTAGGATTGGATCAGCCTTGAGAATGTCCCAATTTTTCTTAATGATCTTACTGACTTGTTTGTATTGAATGGAAAAAGATGTAATAAAGGGACAAAATTTACCGTTTTTACGTGAGGTGGAGGTGGTTAACATCGTATCTCTATTCATATTTGCCACACGGACCATCTCAGTATCCAATATTGCAGCATTATACCCTTTCTCAATGAATCTTTCTTTTAGGACAGCGGCCTTCTGATGGTAAGTATCAACATCTGTACATATTCTCCTTATCCTCATGAACTGGCCCTTAGGAATATTAGCCAGCCATGAGGGGTGGTGGCAGCTGTCTATCGGGATGTAACTATTTCTATCTGAGTTTTTGAAGAAGGCTTCTGATATTACAGAGCCTCCGTTGTTAATCAGTGTTACATCCAGAAAATCAATTTTAGCGGTGCTATAATTAAAGGTAAGTTGAATATTAAGATTATTATTATTTAAAGACCCAAAAAAATTAATAAGTGCTTGTTCATCTCCCTGCCA